GAGCCTGGATGCTCACTCGATCGGGGAGTGCCCTCGTCCTGAGGCGCGCTTGGCCGGGCGAGTAAAAAGGAACAGTAGTTGTACACCCGGAGGCGCACTCTGCCGGGCGAACGAGCGGGAGATTGGCACCTGAAGGCGGACCCGACCGGGCACGTGTTTCTGAGGAGTTTTAGCGACGTTTAAGATATGTTTTAAATTAGGATTTTTGAGCTTTATATAATTACACTTTTGTTAAGAGAGACATTTACGACATTCATTAGTTAATTTCCAGATTTTAGTTTTAAGCTTTTGATTAATACTCTTTTTCTCTCAACTATTTTGGTTTTATGAAATTCAATATTTCCGTTTATTTTGGTAACGATTTATTTCCCTTTTATTTATAGTAATTTAATTGCTTTGATTAATCATGTCTTGTTTTATTGCTTTTCTTAATTTAGATTTCAATATGTGTGAGTAATTATTTCAAGGGTTCATGGGAATCCATAAATAATATGAAGGGGTAATTTATTATTGTTGATTGTCAATGCTTTGATTGATTTTCTATTGATTGATTAAATTCTATGCAATTAGATTAGGCTAGGTTTAATTGTATGAGTTATGCAATATTGATTCGAGATTCGACATATGAGAATTGTCGTTTGGGTTTACTTTCAATATGCAGGTTAATTTATAAATGGTTAAGTCAAGATTCGAGATATGCGATTTAATACCGCTAAGTTAATTATGTGATTGTAATACATAGCAAAAGCCCTTTATGTTCTGATTGATTGATACATTGATGATTGATTATTGTGTTTTACCCTGAAATATTATTTATTGGTGAACATATACCGTAGGCTTTGATTTATTGATTTTCCCTTAATTTTATCCATTTTAGTTTATTTACTCTCCTTAGTTTAATTCTCATAAAAAACAACTTGATTACTTGATATTTAGATTATATTAATTATTTAGGAATAGAAAGACATTGTATATATCCATGTGAATTCGACCCTACTTCCCTATCTGCTTTAGTTAGAGGAGTTAGGTAATTCTTTAGATTAGGTGTTCTGACTAGATCATGTCATCCACATTGCTGGAAAGAATTATGCACATAATATCATGTTGCATGGCGTGCTGGGATGACTTGTGATTTGCGAGGAACGTTAAAAAAATAATAAAAATAAAAATTTTGGAGGTTGATGATGAGATCGCAAATGAAGATGTTATGATTAAGAGTTGAACCTCGCTAAGGAAAAGCTTTAGATGGGGTACTCCAATTATAAGTTTTACGTTGAAAGAACATAAAACTGTCTACGTATGGAGAAAGATGGCACTGGTCTGGCTGCTCGAGGCACTGCAGGGAATTTTTCAAACTCAACATTGAGTCCCACTGTGATCATGTTTTTAAACATGGTGGCGTCCAAAGGGAAGGAAGCTAGAGATAAAAAAAGTCGCCAACAAGTTTTAGGAACTTGTAAACCATTCATGGGTGTGAAGGTTACACCCCATTCACGATTATGGAGATCATTAACTCCATAGTGGTCTGAAACATGACTCGATATTCGGAGATGATGGTACGAATTCAACCTAAAAGAGATTGAACCCGCCCTAAATCGGCCTCTATATAATTCTTTTGATATTCATATGCACTTTTCGATCAACATACATACACCAAATTAATTCTGAGCATATTTAATCTATGTTGGTTGATTATATATGCACAGTCAAATTTATTATTGGTGATCACTTTAATTAAAATCATATTAACCTAAATCAAATTATTAATTATCTTATTAAGAGTGATTTCTGTACAAATTTCCTTTAAACCTGCAAGAAGAGGGGTGATCAAGCACTAACAATAAATCATGAATAATCAAGCAATGTATAATTGACACAACAATCATCATCATCAAAACATAATTAGTAAGATCCTAGGCATGATACTAAACGGATTAATAACAAACCCTAGCATGTCACTAATAATCAAAATCAGAGTTTTATCCTAAACATGATTCTAGGACACATGATATTAGAAATATTAGGTATGTAACACCCTAATAAACATGATACTAGGAATCAAAATCAACATCCCAACATGATACAAGGAATTAATATAAAATTCTAAGCATGATTTCTATATGTCAAAAGAATAGTCAAGTAATCGAATTGCTCACTTTGATATCCTGTACCTCTTTCTATCAAAACAATACACATATTAGTGAACTTCAAGAAAAATTAAATCAAACAAATAATATAAATATGAACCGAAATATAGATTTGGGAACAAACCCTCAGGACTATCAACATTTCTTTCATGTCTGAGTCAAAGACAACTTCAAGGTTGGCTAGGAGTATTCAAGGCTCGTGAAGGAGGTATGATACAGTGTTTGATTAAGAAAATGTATCAAAGACGTGTGTTGGGATGTGTTTAGGATGGGCTAAGAAATCAAGAAAGAGATAGTATCAGAGAGGGGCTTAGATGATGATTGTTGATGAATAAAAACGGGGTGATACGACTTCTATTTATGAAAAAAAAGAGTCGTCGAAGGATAAGAAAAAAGTCAGAATTTGACTCGGATTAAAATGTTTTTCATTGCGGCGCGATGGTGTTGTCACACAAGATGGTTTTGGAAGGATAGTTCGTACGGAATCCGATCTCCAATTGGATTGGGTTAATTAAATTTCCGTACGTATTCTAATTTGACCGGGATAAGGATTATTGAAAAATAGATGTTTTGTCAGATGTAAAAATTTTAAACCTATATCTTTTCAAAAACAAGATAAATTAGAACCTTTTAGAGGATTCCAGAAGCTAATAATAAATCCTAATGGATTTAAGATTGAAAACAACCTTCTAGATGATTTTAGAAGCTTGTAATAAATCCTAATTGGTTTAGGAATGAGGTTAAGGTTAATGGACCCTCCACATGATCATTGGTAGAGCTGTCAAAAGCTGATCCGATCCGAAATATCAGCCCGAACCCGATTACTAACCGACCCGTCAAAACCCGGAAAATGGTGATCCAAACTCGATCTGACCCAACCTGAAACCAACCCTAGACCCGAGTTAACCCGTGTATTCGAGACCCGAACCCGAACATGAATCGACTTGGAGATGACCCAACCCGAATATAACCCGTAAATTATTGACCTGAACCAAACCCAACCTGAACCGAAATTGACCCAAACCCATTTTAACCCTTCAAAACCTGAATTTAACCCGGCCTGGTACTAACCCGACCTGAATTCAACTCGACCTGTTCCTAACCTACTCAAATTTAACCCGACCTGTTACTGACGTGACTCCAAATTAATCAACCCGATTTGTTACAAACCTGGTTCGAAATCAACACGATTTGTTATTAACCCGAACCGAAATTAACTCGACTTATTATTTTATACATCTTCATTATTGTAGAAATTGACTAGCTAAATAAAGATATATGTTATTTATATTATAATCTACTTGTAAAGTCATAACTTCGCAAGGCTAAAACTACTCTATGTTAATATAACCCGACTTGAATCCAAGAATGACCCGACTTGGAAATAACCCGACCTAGGGGTGTTCATAAATCGATCCGGACCAAAAAATCGGACCGAACCACCTTGGACCGAACCCGGACCAGACCAGACCGAATTAATCGATCCGGTCTTCGGGTCTCGAAATTCATTTTTCCGGTCTTCGGTCCGGTCCGCTACAAAACCCTATAAAAAACGATTTTGGACCGGATCAATTTTTTTTATTAAAAATATGTGTGAAACCTTAAATAATGGTTAAAATTATCCTTAATAAGCTTAGTAAAATTTAACTTTATAAGTTTTTTTGCACTAAACATACAAAATAAGACGTAAAAATGACTTTAAATTACAATATAGTTTTTTCCAATACTATATTATTTTACACATCACAAAATTTGGTGCGATATAGACTGCACCTAAATACTCCAACAGACGATGGCCAATTCAGAAGAATATTTAAGGACAAATTAGAAACAAGAAAAATCATTCACTATAATAGTTGCCACGTATTAAAGAAAAATTGAATTAGATAACTGTCAATTTAGAATAAGAAAATTAGTAGAAGCCAGCATTACCATCACTACCTACACATTTATGTTCCTAAAAAGACAACTGAAGTATAATGCAAAAAAGACTTGGTCCATAAGGACCATAACTAATGAATAATCATTATTATTTTTTTAAATTTCAATGACAATTTGATTGTTTTCTTAGTTAGATAGAATGAAATGCAGTATTAATGTCAAAATTGAGTATTTGACTACATATATTTCCTACCTTGCATAGTAATAGTTACATACTTACATTTTATATATGTTCAGTACTAGATAAAACTCATGCGATGCACAGTTTATTTGTATGTTTTAAAACGAACATTCTATGTATTTATGTGATAAACTCATTATTTTACTAGATTAGCTCCCGGGTGTAATGCAAGAATAATGAAAAAAAAGCTATGTAAAACAATACTTCATAAAAAAAAATACAATAATGTTTCAATGTTTCATGGGTAAAGGGTTGTCAGAAGGTTTTTTAAAAGAAAAAGTAAGGAAAATTTTTATGTATTCTATTTTGTAATAAAATATTTTGTGATCAATATTTAGTTTCATCTAGTATTGTGCAATTATTCTCAACTATTTTTTTTTTCTTCTCTATATCTTTCTTTAATCTTACATACACTCAAACCTAAATACTAGTAAGATTTTTAATAAAGAGATGGATAGAGTATCACTTATAGATATAGTGCCGGACAAGCCTTCTAGCCCTTTAATTTGTTTTTATCATTGCAAAAATATAATGTCTTCCGTACGTCCGTACACCAATAATTATACGAGTACTTGGTATAATTATTGGTGTGAAAAATATAAAACAATTACTCTGTATATGATTATATCTCATCATCCAAATAATATCAAGACTCGAGCAACCACAGTCGCCCACGTAGTGAGTTCAATCTTATCCATTTCACTCTATAAATAGAACAGGATTAAAAACAAACTCCAATATAAAATTTGCCAATACCCAAAAAAAAAAAAAACCACAACAGTACAAATATATATTCCAACTTTTAAGTTAGAAGAAAAATGGCAGGATTACCGAGGCTTGTGACGTTGATGTCAAGCTCACGTTTCTTCCAGTATGAAACAGGAACAGGGGAATTACACGCGACCCTGAGAAACACATCTGATACAGTAATTAGTGAGAACAACTTCACCTTGTTTGAAGTGGTGAGTACAAGGGCTCGTGACATGGTGCACATCAAATCTTGCTACAACAACAGGTACTTGCGGCTCAACCCAACCGGTGTCTATATTTACGCCTCTGCAGACGAGCTCCAGGAAGACCGTTCTGAACGGTCATGCACTTTGTTCAGGGTTGTCATCTCCGGCAACAACGTGCGCTTCTTCCACCAGTCCGATAATGTTGACCGCGCTGTGATAATTTATCAAGGTGGTGTCCTTGGAGTCCGGCAGGGTAATGTTATTTTACTTCACATTTATTACTTCCTCCGTTTTTTTTAAGTTGTAACTTTTTAATTTTCACAGTCGTTTAGATTATTTTTAAAGATGAGAGAGTCAGAAAAAATAAGATAGATCCATGTGGGTAGGAGAGATTGAGATAGAAATGTATTGCAAGTAATTTAAAATTTCCAAAATTAAAAAGTGTTATGATTAAAAAGAAATGGAATTAATACATGGATGAATGACGCAACAACAGGTAACCAAGCATTTAGCTTGTTATTTAGAGACATGACCACCTTTGTAAACTTGCCGAAGCACGTAATGTTCAAAGGGAATGATGGGAATTATTTAAGAGCACGTAAAAATAGAAATCTGGTGTTCGTTGCCAACGATCCAACGGATCCGAGAGTGCACCACATTGCAACGCTTTCACCTCTTAGTGGTAATTTCAGCCTACTGTCCACCAGATTCAATCTGTACTGGGAGAGGATCAACGGTGATTGGCTCCAATGCAACTCGAGCAGACCATTCGCCGCGAACACGGTCTTCCGCCCAGTGAGGCAGGGTTTTGGTATCCAAAACAGCACCATAGCTCTGTTGAATACGAATAACAACAGTTACTGTGAGAGATGGACCAGTGGGGGGAATGCTGGTCGTATTCGAGCTTCCTCCTCGACTGTCCCACCTAATGCGGTGCTCACAGTAGAGGAAACAGTCCGGGATCGTAAAATCTCTGACATCAGGTATCTATGCTACTCTCTTCTTCGTCCCTCAATAACTTTAGCTATTTCTGACATCATATCAATTTTTTCGCATTTTTCTTTTTATTAATACATATATAAATATAATACATAACAGTCAAAGATGTGCGCTGGAGGAAAAAAAAAAAAGCAAATAAAAAATCTTTTAATGAATTGGAAGGAAATATAAGGAGTAACAAATAATCTTCTTAACTATGTAGTGATTGATAGATGAAGATCGGAGAAAGTATTATATCCGTATTAATTTTTTCGTATCGAACAAGAAAGCTTGTTATGATTACTTGATTAGAGGTGTCAATCAAACCGAACCGATTCGAAAAAAATAATAAGTTTTAAACTGTAACCGATCCGATTTGACTAGAGAAATTCAGGATCTATCCAAATCGATCCAATTTGTAACCAACCTAAACTTGATTCGAATCCGAATTTAATCATATCTGAACTTAACCCGACACCGACTTAACTTGACTTGAACTCAACCTGAACCCGATATGTCCCGACTTGAACTCAAACCGAACCGATTTGACCCGGCTTGGAGACAACCCGATTTGAAAATGACCCGAAAAATAACCGATTTAATCCGATTTATTTTAACACAAACTAATATTAACCTGACCCAGTTCTAAATTGATCCGAATTTAACCCGACCATAATTTTAAACCTAACCTAACCTATTATTGATTTTTTTTTTTTTAGTTTCAAGTTCACTATTTATTTACTAATTATTAATAAGTTAGAATGAAAGTCTAAAACTCTAAAAATATCTTATACAAATTGAATTAGTAATAAAGCAAATTAATAGTATTCGTAGGCATCGTAGCCTCATGAGATTAAACAATTGAAGAGTAGTATCTTAAAAGGAGGACTTATGTGACTATCATATATCAACCTATCACTAATTCATTACTAACCATCTCACTTATGTACATAAGTATGAAAAATCATCGATAACTATTAAATTTAAATCTGGTTCCAAGCTAAGATAAATACTCCTTTCGTTTTTAAATACTTGCTCCATTTCTCTAGGACACGCATGTCGATCCGATGCTAATATTTGATCACTAATATATTTAATTATCAATAAGTATAAATTCTAACAATTGAAAATTAATAATCTATTCAATGAGATGATTCCGACAAGTACCCACAAGATTATATTTTTTCTTATGTATAAATCACAAACATTAGTCAAAGTAGGATAAATAAATAGTGCAAAAAATAGAAATGGAGCAAGTATTTAAAAACGGAGGGAGTATTACACAAAAACTGATTGAATGAAAAAACTAATTCTTTGCATTCGTAATAATTAACCATGTAATATGAGAAATGAACATAATTGACTTGATATCAACCCAATAATAAGTTAAAAATTCAATAATTACTCTAGTTTAAAAATGACCTTATTTGGATATTGAATTTAGTCAACTCGACCAAAATCTAGACAAACACGAAAAGGATTTGAATCTGAATTGACCAAATCTTGAATAAACCTTATCTTAATAAAACCGAACTTGATCAAACCGAAATCATCCGAGTCGAAATCAACCCGACTCAAATTCGAACATGAACCGATCAGGTATTGACTAGATCCATATCCAATTCGGACTCGATAGACCATGATTTTAATTTGACCTAACCCGATCCGAGTTTAAAAAAATAATTTTGACCCGAAGAAACCTAACCCAAATTGACCCGATCCAAACTCCATCCGGTTATCCGAATTGATACCTCTAGTTATAATCGGTTCATTTACTACGGGAGTATATATAATTATCATATTCATGTGTTTGTATAATTTTTTCCATACAATGACTTATATTAATTGAATAAGATAGAGTGGATTGTACCCAAGTTTTGGAATCCAATCATATTATAGATAGGTAGTTTTTCTTCTTCTTTTTTTTTTTTTTTTTTTTTTTTTAGTAAAAAGTAAAAACTAAAAAACTCGCTTCCCAAGTATTTAAGTGCTAAAAATGTTGGTACAGGTATCATATAGAGGATGCACGCATCTACAATATGGTTCCTCTACAGGCCGTAAACCAAACTGTGTTTAACTATGGATATCATGATGAGAGACAAGAGGTGAAATTCGCCTACACAGAGGTGATAGAAGAGAAGTTCACCTCGTCACATTCGTGGAAATTGTCGGTCAAGGCTACCATCAGGGTTAGATTGATCCCAGTGATACTTCAGGGAAAACTGACTACAACTGCAAGCTACGGAGGTAATTACTTTTATTAAAAATGACCCAATCACCATATTAAAAAAAATCGAGTCACTCAAATTGGAAATTCCCCTTTAAAAATCTTTTCTTCTTTACTTTGGAAATTGTCTTTAAAATAGGCCATTTGATCCACATAAATTTTACGCGTAATAATTTGTATTTGAGTGTATCATATATGACTATGCATCTTCCATGACAGGTAGTGTTGAATGGTCCAAAATGAAAAGAGTTGAGAGAACAGTAACCGGCTCCACAACCGCTACAGTACCAGCAAGGAGTTCTACAAGGGTGACCTTGATTGTTGGACAAGGTTCCATGGACGTCCCTTACTCTTATAGACAAAGTGACATCCTTATGGATGGAACCTTTGAGGAAAAGACTCTGCACGATGGCCTTTTCTCGGGTCTCAGCACCTTTGAATTTCAATATACTATCGAGGAACCTCAAAGCCTTCCTCGTAATGCTATGCCGCCAATAGGCCATGATGACATTGTCATCGTGCCAGGTGAAACCATAGACCTCCCTAGAATGGCCATCTCGCGTGAAGTCGATCAAGTAAAAGTGGAAGGAAAAGAAGATGAACTAGTTTCAATGGAAGAAGATTGTGGAGGAGAAGGAAACGAGGAACCAGTTCCCCTACCAGTGCCTTCCAAGCTTTAGTTACTTGCATGCACTAGGTCTTCTATTTTACGTATTGTGTTTTATTTTAAGGATGAATAATAATTATGTGTGTTTTCTAACACACATATTGTGTTTGTATTATGGCTGTACTTTGCTTGTATTATTGGTTTTCTCCTTTATAATAATGTGTGCCATCTTCACCTTATTTAGCTTATCATATTATATGGACAGTTTTCAAATGGCTACAACCAAATCACCTTGGTATCTATTCACTAAGCTATTTGGTTTTAGAGTCTCAATTAAGTTCTTATTGTGCGTAGTTCAGCTATTTACTAGGCATGATTAATTGTACTTTTATTCCAAGAAAGAGTGGCAATATCTATCCTTTGGTTCTTATCTTGATTTAAACGAACTTATTACTTAATTTTGTGCTCTATTATCTACATGATCTTGATGGTTAATGCATATGTTGAGCCCATGAGAAAACCCACATGTGAGTGGTGTGTTGTCCCACATTAAAGAGTGTAGAAAGTGTTGGGAAGTCTATCCCATACTGAACTTAACAAACGTCATCATTATTATTATTATAAAAAAATATCAAAAAACCTACAAAGTCAATAACTTTACAAGAAATTGGTGGGAAGCCGATCGAGATACAATCTGGGCCCCCACCCCTCTAGCTATAGCAAACCCGATCCTGCTTAAAATGTGAGAAGCTGTACGAGCACCAATATCCTGAGTTTTAGCGAACGTCTATACCCGCTTCAGCAACACAATAACATCTTTCTCTAATTCCCCCAACGAAGAAAAGGAGAAAGGAAGAAAACCATATCCAATAGCCTTACAACGTGCCCCATACTTGTCCCGCTTCCGCTGAGCCGCTGCCGACACAACACGACCAGGAACAAAGTCAAACAACCCCGATTGTGTTAAAAGTGAAGACCCCATTAAGTCAACACATACATCAAGGCCTCTATCCTAGGAATGAAGCAGCACATCTGCTGGTCGTATACACTAGTAGAATAAACGTAATGGCAAGCGGTTCAAACCCCCTAATGGCAAGCGGTTTTGAACCGCATGCGCTTAGGGGGCTTGCCATTAGCCATTTAAATGGCAAGCAGTTCAGAACCGCTTGCCGTTACTAGAGAAAGGGCAGCGGTTTTGGCGCCAAACCGCTGCCCATTATGGGTATACAAAATAATTTTTTTTTTTGTTTTTTTCACATAAATTGATAGACAAACCAAACATATGTAAAAACATCAATATTTTTATTAATTATTTGTTGTAATATTACATTTACATCAAAAAAAAAAAATAATACAACAATAAAATTAATACAACTAATAAAATCAGCTCTATATAAAAATAAATATACTTTCGAAAAAAAAAAAAAAAAAACCAGCCATGACCACCAACACCAGCCAAGACCACCAACACCACCGACCCACCACGATCCACACCATGACCCCCACAAATATCAGCACCACCACCCACCACGACCCTCACCGTAACCGTACCCACCCACCACCCCACCACGACCCTCACCGTAACCCACATCTCCACCCAAACCGTAACCCACCCACAACCCCACACCTCCACCCTTCGCAACCCACCCAAAAAAAACCCACATCTCCAGCCAGCCCGTACCCACCCACCACCCCACACCTCCACCGTCCCTAACCCGCAACCCACCCAAGCAAAACACCAATTTTGACTTGAAAATTTGGTTTTAAAGGTCAAATTCGACCATGAAAACACTAGATCTAGAGTTTTCATGGTCGAATTTGACCTAAAAAACTTGAAAACCCATACGATTTGCACAAATTTGCTAAAAACTTGCTCGAAATTTTTCTCCAAAGCTGCTCGGAATTTTAGTCAAAATTATATGTTTTTGGTCGAATTTTTTCGAAATGGAGATTGAGAGAGGAGAGTGAAATGAAGGGAGTGAGAAATGGAGGGAGGAGTGAGAACGAAAGAGATTGAGAGAGGAGAATAAGAACTGAGAGAGAGAGGAGAGAGAGGAGGAGAGAGAGCGGCTGGAGTATGATGAGAGTGGAAAAAAGGGGCGTGAGTTGGTATTTAAAATGGGTAGGTGTAGACACATAACAATGTCTCCCCAAAACCAAACCCGATGATGAACAACCTTTCACCGCCATTATTGGTCGGGTTGAGTATTTAATCTTGGAGTGCTTAAATCCATATTTCCATTTCATAAACCAACCCAATTCCTAGCCCATTTCCCCAAACCATAAATCATTTTCCTCTTTTCGTGCCTTTAAACCTAAAATAATTCATTTCGTGTCCTTTAAAATCATTCATTTTGTGTCCTTTTTATAAAAACGTTTATTTCTGTTTATTTTGGTCCATAATATGGGTATAATGATTGAATATTTGGATGGGGCTTTAAAAGATCTTTCCAACGATATATTATAAGCCCAAATCCGAGTTATAACGAATAAGTTATGGCCAAAATATTAAACTGAGCCTAAATCGAACCTAAACCCACCTTACATACGACCCAATGATCATGTAGAGGGTCCAAATTATTTAATCCAATTCCTAAACCAATTAGGATTAATTAGAAACTTCTATAAGTTTCTAAAAGATCTTAATTATCCTTTTTGAAAAGATAAGATTAAATAGTTTGAAATTGAATAAAACTCCTTTTTTTTTAAAGTCCTAATTATATCCGAATTGAAAGACATTCAAAGATAGACAGATATTATTTTCGTGCCTCATAGTTATTATCCAAATTTTATATTTGGATAGCTCTTGAAATTATCTTTCCAATGATATATTATAATATCAATTCCGAGCTATAACGAAAAAGATATGAATAAAATGTCAAACTCTATCCAAAACTGACACCGTCTCACTATTTCGGCCATATCTTTTATTCTAAAAAATATTTTAATCTGATTCTAATTGGGTTAGAAAGTAGACTTCAATATCTTTCCAACGATATCTTATTAATCTTATTCCAATTTTTGGATCAAAAGATATGATAAAAATAAAAACCGTAAAAACTGTTGTCTATCGCAAGAGTTTTAATCCGATTCGAACTCGATCTTTTCTTGATTCTTCGACCCTCTTTTTTCCCTATAAATAGAGGTCATATCACCCCTTTTTCAATCATCAACAAGCTTGATCATAAAATAATTCTCTTCTCCCTCTTTAGCCTAAATACTAGCCATCCTATTTTCTCAAAATACTTCCCCTAATTAAGCACTCCAAGGAGTACAGTTCATACAATACCCAAAGTTCTATACTTAAACCAAGGCGTGAAAGGTATAATTAACTGAGGGTTTGGACCAAATTAACTCTACTTTTATTTAGTTTAATTTAATTTTCATTTGCTTTATATTTTATTTATTGAAGTTATTAACAATTTATTCATGATATAGCAATTTAAAGGAACGCGCGGAATGTGAGTAATTAATTAATTTAATTACTTATTTTATTGTTTTATATTTCTAGTATCATGATTAGGTTATTTTATATTTGACTTGACTAACAATTTATTGTTAAACTGCTTCCAATATTAATGTTGATTCTATTATTATTATGATCACCATATTGCATGTTAAAGGGAATATGTAATTGAAAATCACGCCTAATAAGATAATTTGGACAACCGATTTAGGTTCCTTTTTAATCTTGTTATTAAATCAAGTGATCACGATATTTTAGAATTATGCGTTGCATTAATATTTAACCAATTTAGCTTAATAATAGTTTGGAGCAAATTGAATCTCTGTTTGTATGCCTTTGAGATCGCAAGAATCACTTTTCACTATAAGAATCGAGTAGAGGCCAATACGGGCGAATGTGACTCCATGACTCACTTCGTACCATCATCCCCGATCCTTTTTTCGTGGTTCCGAACCATATGGAGTTAGTAATCTCATGGATTATGAATGGGGTGTAACCTTCACGGGTCAATCGTTGTTGCCTTTGTTATCCCTTTATTTTAGTTGCCTTTTATGATCCGTGAACGGTTTACAAGTTCCTTAAAAACTTGTTGGCGGCTCCCTACTTTCCTTGTCCCTAATCGTAATGTCAATTCCCACTTCCTATGAGTGCCAAGCATATTCACAACATACTTTTAACGTAGGCGCACTTCGAACGACGCCTACAATTTGGCGACTCCACTGGGGAGGATTCTTGATTATTTATCGATTTGAGTGATCGGTATTTAATTAAGATGAGTAGATGAGACTTGAAAGATTCTTGAAAAATATTCCTGCGATTTAAATGGAATTGTTACATATGAATATACTTTTTAGGTTACCTATTTTGCCACAATAGTACGTGTTCTACGTATGTGGCTAGCCCGGGGGATTTATGCTCTATCAACCCGAAAACGTTCATGACAATAAGGGTTCATCCGAGTTTTTTAAATCCACCCAAACCATGGAGTCGAGTTCGATTTCATCACGAACTCGCGGAGACGCCCGTTGGCATACACCCTCAAGGGAGGTTGCCTTGCTAACGCGTCCAAACTCTTAACCATGGTACCCTTTGACACCCAAAAGCTTGACCATAGTCGAACATAGAACTTGACTTTAGATTGCGAAGTTCATTGCATCATGCGTGACAATATGCTTATATGTGCATTTTTTTTATTGACTTTTTTTTTAATCAAACCCTTTTTATTTTTTTTAGAGTCGATTCATAGATTTTTTTTTTTAAATTTGAGTCAACTCGGATTTTTATTCCCGTATACTGCACAAGAGTCAACTTGTTTTGGTCATAGCCGGATTTTTAGAAAGAGTTACGTGTCATGGCACATATGGATCTATAGCCCCGGGTTTTATCTTTCATTTGGAGTTGGTTTTGTCTCAATCAGAGTCACAGATAAAAATTTATAACCGATATGCTACAGCCTGTCCGGTTTAGGTGTCTTTTTAGCGTCAACTTTCTTTTGTTTTATTTTTTTTTATTTTTTTTATATCTTCTCGTGTCAAGCTAGTCTTAGCCAAGTACTTTAATCCGTGTCAACTCTTATAACATAGGATTATTGATTTTTATTTTTATTTTATTTTTTTATACCCATGAGTCATAACTCTTCTAGAATTCTAGTCCTCTTCCTAGTTTCTTGTGATCAATTTTTATGCTAACCTTAACATGTGTTATTCGTCTTTGATTGTCGTTGATCTTATTTATGAATAACGATTTTCAATGGACCGTTTTCACCTAGTAAATAGCATAAACATTAAAATTTGACAAAATTAATC